ACTTTAATAAGATAAAATTACTTAAAACAAATAACAAATTCTAGAAATACGTGGAATAATCTCATAATATTTTTCTAATATTAGATATATTAATATATTAAGATGTTTTCACGTTTGTCCATCTAACATATTCCACCCAGCCAGCCTCTCTCTATTACTCCCAATTCCTCCCTCACTCTGCCTCACCTGAGCAAAGCTGCATCTCATTTACCTGCCTAACCCTAAAGCCTTTTATCGGGGAGCACAGCTCCGGTCCTGGAGGGCCGTCATCCAGCACAGTTTGGAAGTTTCCCTTCTCAAACACACCCACTCAACCTGGCAATTAACAGACGGTGTGTTCCGGCGTGTTGGAGCAGGTAAATCACCAAACTGTGCTGGACACTGGCCATCTAGGACCGGAGTTGTGCACCCCTGCACTATAGAAACTCTCTCTCTTCAGACCCCTTACACAGCACTGTACTTCACCATGTGCTTTTGCTCTGCGAAATTCTGCCTCCTATGATCCTGTATCTGTGTTTATTTCTTGTATTCTGCTTGCTTTTGTTTGTTACCTTAGTTTAGCCCCTACGCTGCAAAAATGGTATCTTATCAAGTAAAATTATCTTAACCCTTGTGTGGTGTTGGTGTGTGTGTTACTCAGTGGTCTGCTGGACCCACTGCATTATTGTGTTTTAAATCAATACAGCCATAACAATTTATATAAAAATACCAGATGTTTAAAATATCACAAGTGGCCAGCGTAGGGTTCTCCTTTAGCAGCTGTAGCCAGTCAGCAGCCTGTCCATGTTGTCCACCCTCACACACACACACACACACACACACACACACACACTAACAGCAGGCCATGTAGGAGGAGAACAGAGTGAAGGACACAGCACCTCCACACTTTTACTCCCCGCGGGTTCACCAAACACCACATGTGTAATATAAATGTGTGGGGGGTGAACAGAGTGAAGACACTGAAAATGGGTTATTTTATATGTAGAATCTGAGGTTGAAATAATAAAAAACCATCATTTATTTTTTTAATGTAATATTTCTCCTGTTGAGATTGTTATAAGTTTAATTTAAGATTATTTACCTTATTACTAGACATTATTTACTTGTTTTAAGTCATTTTATAAGGTAAATTTATCTCACTATATTTCGGATAATTTTGCTTGTTGTAAGAAATGAGCCTGAAACCAGCAAAATTATCTGCCAGTATAGTGAGATTAGTTTACCTGATAAACTTTCTTAACAAGTAAAACAAGTAAAAAGTGTCTAGTAATAAGTTAGATAATTTTATAATAAGTGCACAACCATCTCAAAATAGGAAATATTAGATATATTGACTAGTTTTAAGATCATTTCACTTGACAAGATCACGTTTTTGCAGTGCACGTCTTGGTTTTTGCTTTGTTTACTTTCTGGTTGCTTTTTATGTTCCATTTGCTCCGTTTTCACTCTGGTTCTGTTTGTTGCTCATTCCTTGGTGTTTGTATTGTAAATAAACGTTACAATCTAGGTTAAGCCGTGGTGTGTGTACTAAACAATCTGCTCCTTTTATTTGCCCAAACTGGGCCGGTGTGTTTCAAAAATGTCCACTTTTGAAAGAAAGTAAAACATTGAAAATAACCTGCGTAACGTACAATGTCAAAAAGATACTCATGCAGGATAACGGCCCACCTGAATGTACATCTGAGGAAGAAGTAGATTCGGTTTCTCATCATCATCATCCTGTACAAACTCCAAGCTCCAAGTGCAGTTATGGTTTGGCTTTACAGTAAATAGACACTGTTCTTACGAGGGGCTTCATCCACCATTTCCCAACCACTAGTCCCTCAACAATGAACTCAATAATTAAGAGTAGTGTCCACATACTTTTGGCCATGTAGTGTACATCAAGGTAAAGTACCTGCACGACACCCCTCCAGCCAACGCTTGGCATTGTGCATAGTCCTGGTCTTAGGCTTGTGTGCAGCTGCTCAGCCATAGAAACCCATTTCATGAAGCTCAGGTCTAAAAGTTTGCGTGATTTACTGCATCATAGCTTAGCTATTGTTTTCATGGACTCCATTCCAAAATAATAGCACTTACAGTTGTCTTGGGCAGATCCAGCAGGACGGAAATTTCACAAACTGACTTGTGCTAAAGGTGACCGTGCCACGTTTAAAGTCCCTGAATTCATCAGTACGACCCATCCTACTGCCAGTGTTTGTCTATCAACATTAAATGACTAATTTTATCCACCTGTTAGCAACAACTGCGGCTGAAACACCTGAACTCAATAATTAGGACTGGTGTCCACATACTTTTGGCCATATAGTGTATGTGAATTTTCCGTATGGTTGCTTGGCAGCAATAGCTGTAAACAAACTACATATCATAATAGAAGAAGTGTTTATTTTGATTATTATTGATCAACTCAAATGAACTGAATACTTTGTTACAGGTGTTTCAAGGCACAGTAAACAACAGGCTCTCCAGGTTTATTGCATTATTACTGACGTTACACCAGAACAGCATGATTATAATTTTTCACATTGTTCTCAGTGGTGCAACATACACAAGTGCTGAATGGGACAGTATAAACAAATACTAAAGTGATTAACAAGGGTAGAGGGAGGGCCCACGCCTACTCTACGAGCGCACAGCCTGCTGAGGAGCAGAAACTCTTCTGCCCTTTTTTGGAATGTAGAACAGAGAGAGGTTTGGTGGAATGCTGCAGGACAGGCTGGACCGCGGTGGCAAAGGTGTGTCACATACATCGCGGCGCGTTGGCCAGCTGTAAGCCCACAGCTGACAGACCCACACTGGCACTCTGTCTACACGCCCTGTCTCCTCCCAACACTGTCACTGACGACCCAAGCTATAGTAGCCCACCCCTGGAGGCAGAAGGGTGTGGACATCTCGCCCCTTCCCCCACCAAACACTGTCGCTAAGGCAGCTGAGGAATCTCGCGGCTCAGAAAGCTTTCGAGAACACAGTTACGCTCACTTTAGTGAGGGAAGCGAGTGCTCAGCCACAGCGAGAGATTCATGCCCTCGGCTGGTGGAAAGGCCCGAAGGCCATATCTTAGCGCAGGATCGCAAACAACCAGTTCTGTGAGGTATGAAAAATGTGAGAAATGCTTGTGGAAACTGATGCGCAGACTTTGTATTTAAAGCTGCACTATGTAAGATTATTTTGTTAACGTTTAAAGAAGCAGCATTATTAAAAAAACAGGCTGAAATGCGGTGAACGGAGTCGATTCGATGAGTTTTTCACACCACGTCGCACGTCTTTATGCATTAATGTCGCATACGCAGACTAAAAAAGATGATGTTTAGGTCTCGAATGATCTCAAAATCAACATTATACTGCTGAAGATGTGATGACGATAGTAGATAATTCACTCAAATCCTCAGAAGATGCGTTCTTTACTAAGTTTTGACTGAGTTCTCTTTGAATTCTCTTTCAATCGTTACATTCACCTACTCAGGGAAGGGGGCCGAAGCAGAACCCATGCTACAAAACACTGGGTGCAGTTACACATTTCCACCAAAGAGGGCTCCAAATCCCTAAAACGTACATAGTGCAGCTTTAAGAACATTAAAAATGGCATTGAATTTTAGTGCAGCTATTTATTTATTTAGATTTAAATAATAAATCTAAAAATAAATCTAATAAATTTAAATCTATTCGATAAAGTCCAACTTAAAAATAACTACTGCACACTCATTCAGTAATTTACATACAAGACTTTTGGGTGGTTCCTGTTTAATTATGTAGTCGATTTTGTATTTTACAAAGGGGTGGCACGGTGGTGTGGTGGGTAGCGCTGTCGGGCCTGGGTTCGATTCCCGGCCGGGTGACCAGGTGCTCTGGTTTCCTCCCACGTCCAAAGATATGCAGTCAGGCCAATTGTACACGCTAAATTGCCCCTAGGTGTGTGTGTGAATGTATGTCTGCCCTGCGATGGACTGGCGACCTGTCTAGGGTGTTTCCTGCCCTCCGCCCAATGACCGCTAAGATAAGTTTCAGCTGCCCCCGCAACCCAGAAGGATAAGCGGCTTAGAAAGTGTGTGTGTGTGTGTGTGTGTATTTCACATGAATCAAGAAATTCCAAACCCTAAAATGAGATCTTACAAATAAAGGCTCCCAAATGGTTCTCCACTTTTTAAACTTTAAAAAGGTTCTACATTAAAAGGCACTGTGTTAATGTGGCAGCTTGACTTTTAAAGGGATATTCTACTGATTTCTCAGAATGTCAGTATAATAATATGACTGGGATGTAAACAAAAAGCAAAGCCATTCAGAGCGGTTTGGTGTGAAATTCTCTGTTCTAGAAAAACCTGCAGAGTCAGAATTGTTCACAGTGGTGGTGATAGGAACCAGGCGTCCACCTCTAAAAGCTATGAGACATTGGTTTACAATAGTTTTGAGAAGATTTTGGCATAAATCACATTTTTAAAAAATCCAGTCATGGTGGAGGGATACATGTAGGGTGCTGTGACGCAAAATAGTCCCCAAAAAAAAGAAAACATATTTTTCAGATGTATCACTAATTTACCATCTTCAACGTTCCATATAAACTCAGGAGACTCGTGTTGGTTCACTGGTGGTTCTGGATAGTAAATAAAAGGCCTATATTGGTGTTGTAGTCATGGCGACCCCTGGTTCCTATCACCACCACTGTAAAGACATCTGAACCATTTCACACCAAACCACTCTGAATCACTCTGTTTACATCTCACACACTGAGTTATGCAGAAATAACCCTCATTCATATTCATGGTCATATTCAGAGAGTCTGATCCAGACCACAGTGTCTGAAACCAGAATGACACACTGGACATCCTTTGCTGTGAAAATAAACACATAGCTTCCATAACTTACTTAACGCTATGACTAACAGTTCTGCCAGTTTCAGGTGCTGATAAAACGCAAAACCCCAGAGGAACAGGTTATTCTGAAGATCTTCCAGAAACAAAGGGCGACGACTTCCTGACTGGGTCACATGCATATTCATCAGGATGATGTTAATGCGTGTGGCTGAGAGTGGGGAGGAGTGCAGGTGAGGCGATGAAAAGCTACAGCAGAGCAACCTGTACTGCACCACTTCCAGACACACTGACAACAAGAGCGACAGCAGCAGCAGCAGCTCCAGTGCGGCGAGGTAAGAGCACCTTAACTCTGCCTATTCTCCACTAATGCTGTATTAGCTGACAGAGTCTGCTGTTATGTGGCTGATTATGAAGATTCAAGAGGACTTTGATGTGTTTAAGGCAACATATGTGTGCATATAATTCAATAACAAGGACACTGTTAATACTTATAATGAATGTATAACTATAAGCAGTATATAATTGTTGTGAACTTCAGCTCAGTCTGTAAAACCTTCACTGTACGATTCTGAACAGTTGGTGAGATCTGAAGCGCAGATTTACAGATCAAAGTTACCTTTAACCTATAAAACACAGAGATAATTACCACAGGGCTGGGACTGACAGCTGGCGCTCCACCACACCTTGTTTCTTACTGTATTGTATTTCACTTGTTAAATTAACAAGGTGGCACCCGGTTAATGATACGAATCTGTTTAGACACTTTCTGAATCTCGGGCTGATAATCTCATCGATGTTTTAAAGGGTGTGGGTGACGCTCTGGAGCAGGGCTGAAGGGTGAGATCTACAGCTGGTCATATCAAAGGCCACACTTGATTTGGTATTTGATGTTGTCCAACAAAAAGGTCGTTAAACAAGGACTCGGGATTTGTAGACATTCGGAATAAATGATGTTATCAAACACCAACATAAAATGACAGTATTATCGATATACTTCTGCTCTCTAATACTCGGTAAGGTAATATCTGAAATATCTTTTAGAAGACGGAAAAAGTTCCTAATTTTGATACGTGTCAGTGTAACAAGAATTCTGGTCCATTTCTGTTGGTCCGAACATCATGAAATGTTGATCACAGCTGCCATTTTTACATGATTTTTTTTAATGTAAAAAACTTTGTAACATAACATGTTTTCATATGACAGTTAAGATATCCAAAAATCGAAGAAGTAATAATAAGAAAAATAGAAAAATAATAAATGTCTTTTTTAAAATGTCACATGCTGTAATGCAGTATATCATACTTTAACAGGAAAATATATAACAGATTTTCCCATATACATATTTATATATATGAGAAAAAAGTACTGAATGGATGTTAATGGAATGGGATGGAAGTCATTTTGAAGCACTTTTATTGGTCCATTTGTCATAAGCTGTCAATAAACTAATCAATAAAAATGGAGAGAGGTTTTCTGAGAGTGACAAGTAAAAAAAAATATATATATATATATATTTATCACTGCTGTCGGGAGAAAACCTTGTATCTCCATTTTTGTCGTTTTTCAGTTTTTATCATAATTTGAAAATACCTGTTGCTCTTTACATTGTGTGTAAATTTCATGATGAATGGACCAAATTAAACGACACAAAATGACTTGGAAAAAATTCTGGTTCCGTTGACTTACATTAAAAGTAAAGTAGGTTTTTTCCTTCTGTTTTAGAGATACGAACTTTTCTTCCAACAACAGCGACATATATACATATATTTATGTGTATATGTGTATATATATATATATATTTCCTTCTCCTGTTTTAGAGATACAAAGTTTTCTTCCAACAACAGTGACATACATATATATATATATATATACATAATCTAAACCGCTTATCCTTTTGGGTTGCGGTGGGGTGCTGGAGCCTATCCCAGCTGTCATTGGGCAGAAGGCAGGATACACCCTGGACAGGTCGCCAGTCCATCACAGGGCAGACAGACAGACATACACCCACAGGGAGAACAGGCAAACCCCCACAGAAAAGACCCTGGTCACCCAGCCGGGAATCGAACCCAGGCCATTCTTGCTGTGAGGCGACAGCGCTACCCACTGCGCCACCGTGCATATATATATGTCGCTGTTATTGGAAGAAAACTTTGTATCTCTAAAACAGAAGGAAAAAAACCTATTTTACTTTTAATGTAAGTCAATGGAACCAGAATTTTTTCAGTCATTTTGTATATATATATATATATATATATGTATATTGTGACTTCTGACTTACTTCTACTGCTACCCTATTCCCATATACATATATTATATCTTATAGAAAGTGTGTATATTTGTATGTGTATGTAGAAAAAAAAATCTTCATTTTTGTCCTTTAATTTGTGTGAAACTTGGACCAACATAAATGCGGTTCAAACAAAATGAACTTACATGAAAGGTAAAGAATGTTTTTGCTCTGCTCCTGTAAACTTGCGATTTTGGAGACCTTTGTTCCATGTTGGACAGTGACGACATGTACACGAACCACTGACTGATGCCTCGGATGCCACGAATTCCACTTGATTACAGATTCCAGTCACAAGGAAGTGGAATCTACCCCTAAATAGGCCTGTAGGCCTATAAAGTATTCTTCAGAATGACAATGTAAAAATCAGTGAAAGCTAAATGTGATTAGATCTGTACGTAAATCAGTTCTGTGATCGGAAGCAGCTCTGCGCAGAATTCGGAAACTTTCAGTGCTGTCCTTTTTAGGCCCGTTGAAGCAGCACGATCTCCGACTAGCTCTGACGAGGAACGTCCTACACAAACCTCAGCAGCTTATTTCATTGTCACGGAAATGTGTGACCATTTCTAGTCTTGTTATCATTAACAGTGATGAATGATGATTTATTTACAGTCAGTTATAATGTATCTGGCTCTTTTTGGAAAGAGATTTTAAATTTGTGTGATTAAAGTGTGCTTTGCCTGGTCAAACAGAGCTGAACCCCAAAAAAGGCCAAGAAACTTTTATTTCATAAGCTGAGAATAGCTCAGTTGACACTATAATCCATGTAGAGAGCGAGTAATAAGCCTTAGAGTGAAATACGTCTGGGAGGTTAAGGGATTAAATAAAATGATAATAATAAAACATCAACATCAGTGTTGAGAGTGAAGTATCTAACAGCTGTATGCACTTCTACAGAGCCGCTTCAGTGTTTCTTTAATTAGCACAGAGCCCCCGGAGGACCACTCTTCCCCTTTTGGAGTGCCTTTCCTTCTCTGTCACACCTTATTCTGCTAAATATCTCATCACCAAGCCCTGCTTTGGTGCTGTTAAAGCAGGAGAAACCTTAAAATGATCAATCCCGGATCACTGCATTCGGTGAAAGCTTGGTTTCTTGGTTGATGCCAATCTAAAGTGACAGGGTTACAAAACATCCCACGGAGCAGCATTCCACTCTGGGCTTCTGGTAGACGCCCGTTTCCCAAGGGCTAGGCTAGTGAAATTTTTGTCTCCGCTCGTCATCATAGGCGTTCACTGACTGTTCATTCATAGTCCAGCTAGACTCAAACGCCTCGTCCCTTTAGAGATCTTAACTTCTTCAGGTATTTCTGAAAGACGTTTCTATGTAGGTGAAGGATTAGACAGTGACTGTGCATCCTGAAGTAGGACCAGTCGTCCTGTACACAGGTACTAAACTGTGACGGGGGCAGTGCCCCTCTTGTCGCCTGGGTGGGACCCTCAAGGCTACATAATTGGGTAACACTTTACTTGAGGGGTGTCTACATAACACGTTCATAACATCTTACATAAACGCTTCATAACCTGTTAATGAATGTTTAATTCAACACTTTATGAAGTATATATGCTTTACATGATATTAAAATGGACTACTATGTCATTTTGCTGAGATACAATTTTCAAAATAAAATTTCTTATATTTTATTTTTAAATAGTACATTATTTTCAGTAAAACGCCTCATTTCTGGACAGCCAAAATAAAAATGACCTCGCTTTATCCCTTTGGTCATTGAGTGCTTTGACACTCTGTCATGTTTCACCTTCTTATTAATTATGTTTTTTTTTCTTAAGCATTTGTTGCTTTGCATGTCACTTTACTACATGGACAATAAATTACGTAAATATGCTTATAATCAATCATTTGACCAAATCTTAGTATGAAGGTGTGCCTGAGTGTCAAAGTGTTCATTTTTACTTTGTCTGTCCAGAAATAAGGCTTTTTAATATACTTTTCAAAATAAAAAATGAGAACTTTTATTTTGAAAAATGTCTCTCAATGTAAAATGACATAGTAGTCCATATTAATATCATGTAAAACATTATGAATGTTGATTTAAACATTCATGAACATGTTATGAAGGGTTTATGTTTATGTTATGAATGTGTTATGTAGTCACCCTTCAAGTGTTACCCGTAACTGTACCATAATCCACTGAAATGATATGTTCTAAGCTGTACTGACTCCACACACCCCGTCTCGTCTCCAGGCTTTTATTTTACTGTTCTGTTTAAAACATTCGGTTATGAAAAGGTACAAATACGAACTTTTCACCTGGAAAAACTTATTTAAGGTTCACAATCAGACCTTAAAATCCACTGTTGGAGCTTTGAGGGAACATTTACATTGTTTGTACCTTGATGAGTGATAAATGTACCTGAACAGAACCTTTATTTCTAACAGTGTAAGCCGCTTCAGCAGCCCAGCGTTCCTCCACCCAGTTCAACTCACAGCCTCTTAATGAACCAAATCAGGTGTCATTTTGAAACTAACTGTGTTATACACACATCATTGCTTTCACTCAAAACCGTGTCCTCATTTTTGCCATTTTTTACTTTTTTGCATAGTTTGAAGTCCAGCTACTCTTCACAGTGTTCAAATTTCCTGAAGAACAAGCCAACAGAAATGGTCCAAAATGACTTGGAATAAAATATTTTTATATCAACTTCCATTTATACGTTTATAATGTTTTCTCCTTCTCATGTAAAGTTACCTTTTTGGAGGTTTTGTTCTGACAGTGATGATATTGTGGTGCTCAAGAGAGATTCTGCACAATTCATGGTGCTTTATTTTCCAGCTGTTGTTGGCCACAGCCACGCCGCACCAGAGCAGAGGTTTCCTTTACAGCCTGGGGTGATTTTGAGCCCCGCCCTCTACAATAAGAGTCCATAATAACATGAACCAAGTGCAATAAGTGTTAGAGACCACAGCCCAAAACTAACAGGCCAAAACACACTACAATAGTCTGTATGCCAGTGTATGTGACATGTGGGGAGACTTTAGTGAAGGGCAGCTCTCAAGGCTACACAACACCAGCATATCGCTGTTGTCGGAAACCTCGTATCTCCAAAATGGTAACTTTACAGGAGAAGGAAAAAAATGACTTCACTTTTAATGTTAGTCAATGGAACCAGACTTTTTCCAAGTCATTTTAGGGCCTTTATTTTGGTCCATTCATCATGCAATTTACACACAATGTAAAGGGTAACAGGTATTTTAAAATGATGTCAAAAACTGAAAAACGTCAAAAGTGGAGATATGAGGTTTTCGATAAGCCTAATGGCATGACATGGACATTTGTAAAGGCTTTTCAGTTGTCACATCATTTGTTGGTGTGAAAAGACATTTAAATGGGCAAAACAGTCTTCATGACAACTGGTGCTTGTTGGAATACGCCTTTATAAAAGTCTATGTTGGTTGTCATTAAAAGCTCATGCAGATGTCCCAAATGCTGTCCTTCAGTAAAGAGTTAGGTCTTAACATTTATGGGTTACATATCGCTGCTGTCGGGAGAAAACCTCGTATCTCATGATGAATGGACCAAAAGAATGGAAAAATGACTTGGAAAAAAGTCTGGTTCCATTGACTTACATTAAAAGTACAGTATGTTTTTTCCTTCTCCTGTAAAGTTACCATTTTGGAGATACAAAGTTTTCTTCCGACAACAGTGATATATGTATTAGTACCAATGTTTAAACAATGGAAGAATCAAAGTTACACATTTTCCCCATTTAGGGCAAATATAGAAGATCTTTAGTTTAGCTATGAGGCTAATTTAATAGACGTCTACGTCACCCAAAACAAGTTACATTACTTGTGAGCTCCAGTGCAAAAACTAAAGAAACTTCAGACACCAATCATGTCTCGGCTGATCCTCTTACATTTGGAGTAACTATATTTTCAGTGAACTGTGTCTTTAATATTTAATATACTGATGTAGATAGTAATATTCAAGCTTAATTTATAACGAGAAATCACATTTAAATCACAATCACAGTATTTAGAGAATTAGTTGGTGTTATAGCACATAGACAAAAATTGCAGTTACACATTTCCACCAGAGAGGCCTCCAAATCCACAAATCTTACATAGTGCAGCTTTAAAATACATGCCAACATATGCATATACATATTCAGTTGTGTGTAAATGTATAGGCGCCCCTAGTCGAATCCCATGTTGTTGTTGAAGTGTAAATAAGTTAACACATCCTCTGCAGAGAGCACATGCACATTTTAATGTTACTGTTACTATTTAGTCCAAAATGTTTTTTATGCTATGTTTTAATATTTCCAATATGTTTAACAGCACATGATCAGGGGTGTTTGAACCTTTGCACGTGACTATATGCATATATGTAAATTATTGCTGCTGTCGGAAAAAAACTCTCCATTGGTTCCATTGACTTACATTAAAAGTAAAGCAGGTTTTTTCTTCTCCTGTAAAGTTCTCATTTTGGAGATACGAGGTTTTCTTCTGACCGCAGTGTTATGTATGTATACCACAATCTTGTAATTCTTGAAATAATAACACAGTAACTTAGCACTGTGTTTCCTTTGCTAACTTATGGCGAGTTCGGACAGTCTGCCATAATTGTAAGGTCATAAAATGTTCACGTCACCAAATTGTAATTACCACTTGTATGAGCTCGGGTGGTCATCGCCAATGAGTGCATTTATTATGGACCAATGACATCATTAGGTGTTGTTGGTTGCTTAATGATAAGGCCGTTCTGTTCACCACAAGCAGAACGGTAATGTATGAACATCATGACAGAAAGTACTTCTGTTAACTTGGTAGCATACAAAGTTTTCCAGCTGGATCTGCTGTGATCCACATGGTGTTAGAGAACGTTCAGGCTAGTTCACAACTCCTAAACCCTGGTGGATTTGGTGGTGATGACTTTGTCAGCCGCTCTAGCGCATCTGAGAGGTACAGAATGAGGCAGAACAGAGGAAAGCAGACAGGAAGGACATCTCAGTCAGGCCAGGCCTGAATCAGCCAGTAAGATTTCCCCTCTAAAAAGCCTGCACATGCTTACAAACCTCTAAACGGACCTTTTCTCTTTTTTGTGATTAATTTCTTATTATTTTCTAATTAAAGAAGCCAAACGACCCCCATTCTGACCCCGACCCACATCCACATGGGACCGAACAGAAACTGATCATACATACAACACAGGACACATGAAAACTGAGTTACACCATTTACGTCCTAAACACAAACCAAAACACATCGTACAGTTAACAAGCATAAGAGTCTTCAGTTTAGATTTCCCATGAATCCACGTATGAAGAGTCTGAGGGGCTGCACTGCTGACTGCTGCAGTAAACGGACCTTTTCTCTTAGATTTGCTGAAATATATGTTTTCTGTTCGGGTCTCCAGAACAGACTGTACTCAGGAACGTGTGATGAACTTCTCTATTCTCATCACCAAGTGCTTCAAACATGACAGCACAACTGATCACAAAACTGCTGCCACGCTTAAAACCCTTAAACTCATTCATGACACCAGAAACAACAAATGGTTGAAATATTATTCTAATATAAGCAGTTTTTTATGTGCATCCAATTAAGTTTTTTTTATAATATTTATATTTATAAAAATAAAAAATACAATAAAAATATAAAAATAAAGAAATATAAAATAAAAAAATAAAATATTTATATTTGTAAAAGCTGTTTTTTTTTATTTTTCTACATCATACGAGCGCAGCTGCTTCCCTTTACACTGTAAATGCGATAATGAATGGACCAATAGAAAGGCTCCAAAATCAGATGGAATAAAATCTCTTCATATGAACTCGCATTAAAGGTTGAGGACCTTTTCTCCTTCTCTTGTAAAGTTTCTATTTTGGATTTTTTTTTATTTGGGCAGCAGTGATACGTAAACTGTATTTATGAAATACAAAATGTATGAAAATAGCAACTTCCCTTGTACTCTGTACTGTAGAGTTTGGAAGGAATCCATGTATTTCAAATGTATCTCACAAAACAGTTTGCTTTTTTTCCTTGTTATTTATTTTAATATATACTGCTGTAAGATTTTTCCAGGGTATTTATATATTATTTGTGGTTATTTTCAGATCTGTGTCCAGCAACTATTGGATTTTTTTAAATGATGTTTGATGTTTGTGCGCCCTCTGGTGGTGGAGGTCGTCAGAGCAGTTCAGATGAACAGCAACAGAGATGAAAAATAATCCTGTGTAAATGATGTGACTGAATGATGAAGACTTACATTCTACACAGTCTACACTCTTAAAAAAGAGGGTTCTTTAGGGTTCTTTAGTAATAAAAATGGTTCTATATAGAACCATAAACACTCAAAGAACCCTTTGCATGATTAAAGGGTTCTTTGCATCATGAGAAGAATTGGAGGATGTGCTGTGGATGGTTCTATATAGAACCTTTTTGAAATGGGTTCTATATGGCACCCAGTGTCAGGCATATAACAATAAAACCTTTTTGGGTGCTACATAGAACGCTTTTAAAAAAGGTTCTATATAGAACCATCCACAGCACATTCTCCATCTACCTGAAGAACCTTTTCATGATGCAAGGAACCCTTTAATCACGCAAAGGTGTCTTTGAGTGTTCATGGTTCTATATAGAACCATTTTCTTTACTAAAGAACCCTTGAAGAACCATCGTTTTTAAGAGTGTTCATATCATCCTGTTTAGTTTGGCCTGAAAGCAGCTACACGAAGAAAATCACACTCAGTCTTGTGCAAATTTTGGTCAAATTCTATGTTTTGCTGATTTTCTAAGTGTAAATAAGTGTAAATAAGTGTGAATAAGTGAACACGTCCTCTACAGAGACACACGTCTGCACATTTTAATGCACAATTACTGTTTATTTGCTAAATTTAACATATTAGGAACAATTAACCATAAAATGTGGCCTGCGCTAAAGTTATGGCACAATACTGTATGTTTTATTCTTCCCAACATATAAAATTCAGTAAATAAACAGTAACTGTGCTGTAAAATTTGCAGGAAAAATACCAGATTTAAGTGTTTTCTCTGTAGAGGATGTTTAAACTTCTCTTCACTTAGAAAATCAACTAAACGAACAATAAAGGAAACAGAAAAGCATCAGTAAACAGTAAACAGTAAACAGTGGGTGAGACTGATCTCTTCTCTCTGTCCTTCCAGAGAGCCATCCTGACACAAAATGAGTGCCAAAGACCCGCCGCCCTACGTCATACCAGGTCAGTTCATCAGACTCACGCTTCAGGTTTAGAGCCAGCCTTAGTCTAATTCTGGACTAAGAAGGAACGACTGGGGTTTGATTCTCTGTCCGAGCTACACACCACGCTACACTAATGAGAGTCTTCAGGCTGACTCACCTCATCACAACAATTACGCTCTGGATAAACGTGTCCGTCAAACGCAGAAACATAGATATGATACGCTGCAAAACAAAGAAGACATTTAAGAAGTGAATGAAGCCGCAGATGATTCTGAAAATAAAAGGGTTTTTAAGAAAAAGTCTGTTTAAAAAGTGGAGAAATTGTTATTTAAGGCAGATGAAAATAAAACAGTATGTTAATTACGATTTAACAACTTCCTGTTGTTCTGAAAATATTTAAAATACCAAAATACCTTGGAATACAATTAAAGTAATTAAGTAATAAATTATATTAAATAAATAAATACATTAAAACAAACAAAGAAAAAAAAATTAACTAATTAAATGAAGCTGTATTTGATTCTAAAATGGCTTAATAACTGAAATGTTTCATGTTTTAAAAAAGTGGAAAAATTGTTAAGGCAGATAAAATTATCACAGTATATTAATTATAATTGAATAACTTCTTGCTGTTCTTAAAATATTTAGAATACCAAAATACCTGAAATACAATTAAAGTAATAGATAGATAGATAGATAGATAGATAGATAGATAGACAGATAGACAAATGGCTTAATAACTGAAATGTTTCATATTTAAAAAAGTGGAAAAAGGCAGATAAAAAAATATTACAGCATGTTAATTACAAATTAATAACTTCTTGTTGTTCTTAAAATATTTGGAATCCCAAAATGCCTTGGAATATAATTAGATACCATCACAGAAAGTTATTATTCTGCATTAAAAATAGTAAAAACCCTCAGTATGACGTTCTGTTGTGAGTGTAGTTCTGCTCATCATGCTCCCCTCGTGTTTTCACAGTGGAGGGCAAAGGGGACAACGTGAAAGTCTACAAGGTGCACACGCCGTTCAACCCGGGTTCCTCCACCCATGAAGACTATCAAATCAAAACCCACGCCACAAGCGGTGAGTCAGAAAATCTGAGAACAGACACTGAGATTCATCGCTCAGTGCTCCCCTCACTGAACCTGCCCCTTTCTCGCTCTCGCAGTTCAGTCCTCGTCGGCTGATGAAGGCAAGAATAAGTTTGTAAGCTACGACTCGGAGCTGGGCCGCACACCGGGGATGACCACCTGCACGACCTGCCGTGAGCAGGTGCTCACCAACGTCGACTACAAAGTGGGCGCCTTCGCCTGGCTCATGTGCATCCTGTTCATCCTGTGCGGGTAAGAGCGGCAAACATGACCTTTTCTTAGCTTGATAGCTCTTATTTCTGAGCTCTGTGTGTGTGACGTGTGTTGAGCTGCTAGTGAGCAATGAGGGGTGAGAACTGCTGTGAAAACTATGCACACTTCTCCACGAAAACGGCCTGTACAGCTGAATGTAGCCCTGTGATCCAGTTATCTGTGGTGTAGCTCTAATTCTAGATGGATTTTTATCAGTCAGCCCATGTTATAAATCTATTTCTATCATCCTATCATGTCCAAAAATATCCAGACAGCCCTTCTTAGTGGATTCAGCTACTTTACAATGCACCCACAGCTTGTATAATCTCCATAGAAAAGCACTGACCAATAAAATGGGACGGTCTGGAGAAACGGCATAACAGCCTAAGGTCACTATGCCAAATGCCAAGGCCTGTGGAGCAGTAGAGCTGTGTTCTCTGGGGTGATGGAGCTCCAACCAATACCACTGGGATGAGGTGGAGTGTCCAGAACTGACCATCCAACATCAGTACCTGACCTCACCAAATAACTTGAAGAGAGGAGAATTACCACTCTGTAAAGTCATCTGGGTTTCTCAAACGCTAGAGGGCGCTCCTGAGTCCAAAAGGAATAGGTTGATATATAGGAGTTTAAAACGGCGCCTCATGTAGGTTCATAACACAGTGAGCACAAACAGCCAATGAGCTGTTCTGCTCACCATCCAATCAGCACTCAGAAGCAGTAATGCCAGCGTTCTGCTGCCCAAAACCTGTTTGCTGTAGAAAAAAAGAAACTTACAGGCAAGTTGACTTTGCTTTATTAGTGAAATAAATCCACATACTTTCTAAAATTAAACAAAGTTTCTAATCACCTGCCCAGATCCTATTTTAACTTTTTGTTTTAAGCTGTTTAGTCAGAGCCGGTTTATGAGGAGCCTGGCCACTTCTTATTTCCACCGTTATATCAAAAACAGGACTGCTAAACAGCAGAGGGCGCCTGTGAGGGAGTCCTCAATGAACGGGAGTGAATAGAGCTAAACGGCTAAAATGAAAAGTTAAAATAGTTTCTAATCACTGAACCAGAACTTTCCTTTAATTTTAGAAAGTAGAAGGATGGATTTCACTAAAAAAACAAAGAAAACTCACCTGTATGTTTCCTTTTTACTACAGCAAACGGGTTTTGGGCAGCAGGACGCTAACGTTACTGCTACTAAGTGCTGATTGGCTGGTGAGCGGAGCAGCTCATTGGCTGTTCACGCTCACTGACGTCATGAACCTACATGAGGCGCCGTTTTAAACTCCTATAACTCGAGTTTAAAAGCTCTTAAAAATATAACAGCGGTGTTTAAATGTTTTACGCTGTTCTGTGTTTAGTAAAATATATTTTTTCGTATTTAAAATGTTTAAGCATTTATAAACCATGATTTTGCTCAAATGCTCCATCTTAACTCCTTCATTTTGGACTTTGATATAATGAGGGAAATAGGAAGAGGCCGGGCTCCTCATAAACCAGCTCTGACCTCACTGGCTGAATGCAATCAAATCCTCACAGCAATGTTTCAACCCTGCTGTGTTTCTATTGTTTCCTATTATAAGGAAATTGTAATGTGTTTTGGCTTTTTATGGGTTGATCTCACAACATAAAGGGACCAATTGCTGATTCTAGATGATCTGGTGGCTTCCTAATAGGAAGGTGTTCCCCAGTAAACTAGTGGCCTCTATTAGAAACCAAACCCATTTAGGTTTCTAGAGGTCCTTTTTCAGCAGGGAACATCTAGTTTAAAGCCTTCCAGAACAGTAGAGGCTGGTACTACAGCACACACTCACTATTACAACGCAAGAAACGCTGCCTGAGGAGGCGTCTACATACTTTTGGACATACAGTGCCGTCCCGTCCCGCAGTCACACCAGGACTCAGTGTAACTCAGGGTTTGTCTGTGTGTTTCAGGTTGGTGATCGGCTGCTGTCTGATCCCCTTCTTCGTCAAGCACTTTAAAGACGCCTACCACTCGTGCCCCAGGTGCAAACGGATTCTCCACGTGGAGAAGAAGCGATGCTGCTGACCCCAGCCTCCCGTCTGAGCTCATCACTGTCCCGCTGCTTGCAAACTCTGCTCTGAAAGCACAGCTTGTGAGAATGCCACGGTTGCAGACAGACCATTTATTCAGTTTTATATCATAGAGGCTGATGGTCATCATGGGGTGACCTACCAGAATGTATTAAAGTAGGGGTGGGTAGTTAAAGCAGAGGGTTGGTTGGCACAGTGTTCACTGTCTGCTGTATATTCCAGCCATTCTACAGATCTGTGGTCTCCAAATCTTGTCCAGTAGGGCCTGGTTCAAACCACAGTTCGTCCTACTACTGTTCCAGCTAATCAGCCTCTTTCCAAGTCCCTGATTGGCCGGATCAGATGTATTGGAGTTAAGTAAGGGGTGGGACAGCTTAGTGGATAAGGGTTGGAGACCACTGCTGTAGATCAGGATAACTCAAATAGCGGCAGATGAAAGCATCTTAGCTTAAAAAAAAAGTGCATTCAGGACGAAATTCATGTTGTGCCAACCAGCCCCAACATGGGTCCTGCTTATGGGGATGTTTGGCACATTAACCTATTGAAATCCCAGATTTATTACACAATAAGGCTTATTATTCAGTTACTACAGAGACTTCAATGCAAACAGGTTGGGCTATTCTTAGGTTATAGAAGTGTGTAATAAACATTGCCATGAAAGGGGTTAAAAAGCTCAAGTTTCAAAAAAGAAATAATCCAAGGTTTTAATTTAAACCAAACATTTGACAGCAACCAAATAACATTTTTGGATCAGTTAAATATCAGAAATGTTGATTCATCTTAGTGGCTTCTATTGAACAAGAAGAAAAACAATAACAACACAAAACTGGGCCACTTTAACATTAAATTTCTTTTATTAGCTTGTATTAAAACATCACAGTTTAGTTATTATTAATAATATTTCATTTTAGCAAATTAGTCTTTTAAAGCTAAATCTCACTAAGTAAACTATAGAAAGTCATGTTTTACAACATACCTCACTTTTGAGCTCTAGTGTTTTATTTTAGACCAGAAAGCCCCAAAAAGAGACGGGCAGAACCGAACAAACTTCCTGTGCTGATAGACGCTGATGTTCCACTGCAGTTCTATAAGAGACCTCAGTTCACTCCAGTTGATATTAGAGTCAATATTTCATTAAAGAAACGTCACTTTTGTCCGATCCCTGTTTTTGGCGACTCAGCCACCTCTGATGCTGATGCTGCATCGCTGCTCTGCAACCCTGGCATTCGAAGAACCCTTTGCTTTAACTCACCTATGTCTTGTTTGTAACGAGCATCTGCAAATCAGGAAGTTCAGACACTGTGATGAACACTGATTATCTTCGCCGTTGATTCTGAGGGGTCAGGGGGAGGGGGAAAGATGCTTGGGTTGGGTTCGTTAACATGAATATTAATGATCATATTTATGGCCAACCCTGGTACGGAGCAATGAATTTTATGAAAATGAAAGTAAGCTACTTCACATGTTTACCTCATATGATCCAAATTGGCCACACCAGGGCGGGTCATCAACTGTTTTTATCTGTCAACACAAACTGGGCGCTAGTATTTTAGATTTTTAGATTTGAAACTGTTCTTTAGAAACAATCTAGTTTAGATTTAGGTCAGAGGACACGTCCATGCTTTGTACATAATGCTATATCTGTTTTTTTTTTGTCTATTATTGTTCTATGACAACCTACACATTAATGTACCATTAGACCTGTCATATAATTAAAATTCATTTATGAATTGTCATTTTAGAATTAGTTCTATATCTACTCTAGCATAAACAAGGGACTTAAGAGCAGAACTGCTGAGTATTACGGCCAGAGAGCCTAATGCAATCAGTGAAATGCCAATTAAAAATGTTAATTTCATATCTGCCTCATTGTCAGTCACTGATGCATTACCTTGTATTGAAATTGGCTTGATTTAACCGTGTCTCATGATAGTGGATCGACTTTTTAGCAGGGCTACATCGTCATGTCAACATAGAAGTCTAACCTGCTCCATGGCTGATTAAAGCTTCACTATATAAGTTTTGGGGATTTGGAGACCTCTCTGGCGGAAATATCTAATTGCAAGCAGTGTATTTCAGAGCCCTCCCTGAGTGGATGAATTAGGTGATTGTGTGCTGAAAAAGAATTCAGAGAACTGTCAAAAGGTAAAGGATGTTTCTGAGGATGTTTCTGAATTATCTACTACCTAAAAAGGTGCTTTTTGCCTGTGCTATACAAACAATTAATTCTCTGAATACTAAATGTAATTTAAATGCGATTATTAGTTATAAATTAAGCTTAAGGCCTTTTTTTAAACCCTAATCAGAGCAACACATTCATTTTGACATGACGACTGAACGTAAAATGCCAGACTGCCAGTTCGCGAGCTCTGTGTTACTGTTAAAAGTCCCAGATTAAAAATCGCAGCTCTTGCAAATTTAAAAATGTACTTAAATTTATACATAAAAACAATCATTCAGCCCCGAAAAGGACTGGAGGGTTCACCTTCACCATAAGGTCGGTGGAAGAGCTGTTCATGACGCATAATCTCAAGTTTAACCGGCCCTGGTGCAGGTCAGGCGTCCAGGATATATTGCCATGGCTGAGAAAGTGATCCACCGTTTACAAAGCAAACATGGGTTAAAAAGTCTGACCGCAGATCAGATTCTTCCATATGTATGACTTAAAATGGGTTCTAGATCAGCCCGCCTACTCGAGGTGGTTTGTGGACACAGGCCCGAAATTAGACTGAACTAGGTTTTTGAGGCTACATTCACATTACAAGCCTCATTGCTCAAATCCGATCTCACTGTCAGGATGGTTCACATTGATGTTAACGAACCGGCACATGCGCACATCCTTCTCAGTAACGTCACGTGAATGAATCACGTGAATCACCAGCACAAACTAATGAGCAGAACGAGCTTCGCTGAGAAGATAATTAACTCTATGTTCACATTACCAGGTTGAAGTGGCGCAAATCCAATTTTTTGCCCTAATGTGACTCAGATCTGATGTTTTCAGGGCTGTGTGGACACAGCAAATCTGATCTTTTCAAATCCAACCTGAGCCACATTCATATGTGGTGCTAGACCTGGTTACATATCCAATTCATGGCCATGCGACCTTAATGTGACGCTCAGATCGGAATTCATGTGCTCTTTTCCACTGTGCCATCATTCAGCGTTACCATGGCAGCAGCGCCCAACAGAAGTTAAAGCCTGTAAATGGTGGAAAAGCAGCTCATCTCACCTTTTTCTCCTTCGTCTCGCTCTAATAATGAAGCTGAGAGCTGATCAGAGTTAATGATCTTCTCAGCGAAGCTCGTTCTGCTCGTTAGTTTGTGCTGATGATGCACGTGATTCGTTCACGTGACGTTACTGAGTAGGATGAGCTCATGAGGGTCATTTCAGGACGCCGGTCTGTCACATTAACGACAGATTTGATCTCTTACCTAAACGAGTGTGAACCATCCTGTCAGAGAGATCGGATCTGAGCAAAAAATCGGATTTGAGAAATGAGGCTTGTAATGTGAACGTAGCTAAAGTGGCTCAGGTCGGATTTGTAAAGATCAGATTTGTGTCCACAGCCCTGAAAACATCAGATCTGAGTCACATTAGGGCAAAAAATCGGATTCGTGCCACTTCAACCTGGTAATGTGAACGCAGCCTAAGCTACCTTTAAGAAGAGATTGTACTTGGTGAGATCGGCCCCAGGTTGGTTAACACGTAGCAGCTCAATATGCAGCATTTTGCATCCAATCTGTGTAGAAAACCGGCTTAAATTTACTGTTTTTGGGGACCAAAACGTTCCACTGATAAGTGCAGTAGCTTTTATAGAAAATTTTATTCAACATACATTTTTCAGCAAAAAGGCAATATACAGGAATAGGTGTCGTACACTGCTGCTACACGGAGGAATTAGACTGGAAAAAAAAATAAATCAAATTAAAGATGTGATCTGCAGGTCATTTTTGTACTGCACTTAAACAAGACAAACTGTTGCAAGTAGTTAAGGAAGGGGGAAAAAAAGTAATAAGAGACAAAATAAAACGGAAAGTCAGTGTCCAAAATAAAACTACACACAATGAATATGAACATCTGAATTGATCTGTACCCAACAAAGTGTGTCTTTAATTTTACATGTCCATTCTTTAAATATACAATTTTAAATGTTGTCTTTACAAAGCCAACTATGCACTAGGGAGCTCCCCTCCTGTGCTTACAAAACAAAAAGAGGAAAAAAATAAGAAAAAGGAAAAACAAAAGAAAAAAACAAAAAAAAAACCCAAAAACAAACAAAAAAAAAAAACCCAAGGATTTTAATCGGTTCGTTTAATGCTGGTTTCTCTATGTCCTGAACCAGTCGACTGAATGTCTGCAGCCTCCTGCCAATGCACACTACAGTGAATGTGGAGCCTCTAGCAAGCAGCCCCACCCGCCTCCCTTCGGAACGATGCCACGGCTAAGCAAGAGAGGAGCGTGGAGGAGGGCGGAGGGAGAGACGGGACGCAGGGGGGTGTTTGGGGTAGATGGGGGGGCCATGGGCCAAATAACAACCAAAGATCACATTTTCCAGCTGAGAAACGTGGAATCTTTGATATTTAAGTGCCAACGTGCAAGATGAAATACAGACAATTTATTTCGTTTCTGGTTTCTTTTTTCTCTTAAAAGGGATGCAACGGTGGATCTTTATTTCTTTATATCATACAAGATTTCCAGAAAAGAGACAAACTGAACCCCTCCGATCAAACTAAGTGAGAAAAAAAAAAAGTGTAAACATGAAAACTGCCTAGTTGCACTAAGGGACAAGAAAATGAAACCACTTCAGGGCAACTAGCAAGCTATAACCATCTGTGGTGCTTCTGTGTGTGTTTTTTTTTGTATTTTTTATGTTTTTTGGGTTAAAAGGATCGAAATCCTTTTCTTATTTGCAAATGGCAAATGTTCTTTCGTCCATCCCCCTCACTACGCAGCAGCTTTCTTTCCGTAACAATTCTTAAAAACAAAATTAAAAGGAAAAACAAAACAAAACAAAAAAAAACTGAAACGGTCTAGAAGTTCATACTGTTCCCCCCAGTTTGTTAAAATCCAATTCATTCTTCCAGACAAAATAGGCAGTCAATAGAGAAGCCAAATCAAAGAGCTTCTAATGAAAAAGAAAAAGAAAAAAACAAAAACGAAACAAAAAAAGAGCGGCAACTCCGTTTTGCTGAAGACTTCATACATTGGGCCTGTGTACCCAGACAGCAGGTGGTAAGAGTGGTGCACACAAGACGTTTGGTTAAAGTCTTTTTAGTAGGGTCGGTTAGGGTGGAGAGCTTGTCAGTTGTGGATCTTGATGGCCTTTTCCAGGTACGTGTAGCGCCCTCTCTTTGGAGCCTTGTTGAAGTGATCGAGACCCAACCAAGGCCTCGGGTGGGACATGTTTCCTGGTGAGGAAAAAGAAATGCATATATTTATATTTAAAAGCCCAACATTGAAGCACTTCGGACTCAGGGTTACTTGCGCACACACGCAACCCCAGATGAACAAGGTGACAAATCTCACCAACAATGCAAGTAAACTCAAATCTCACACGTATCAATGTCTATTTTATTCAACAGGCTGGCTCAAAGTTATACATGGCTATACAGCAAGGTCTGAAAAGTCTGAAAATAAACAGGTTTAAAAGTTTGATCAATTTAAAACAAAGAGAAGTTATGACAAGTAGAATGAAGCATCCAAGATCCTGCACTATTTCTGGGTCATCAAACTTAAGCAAACTTGGGAAGCTTGAGCTCACGCTGTAAATAATGCAGGAGTGGGACACAAATACTCAGAAGTTCTTATGGACTTATGGACCCCATTGTATACGCTGACATTAGGGATGTAAAAGATACATAAAAGATTAACTGACACACCTGTCGACCAATATCACCAGTTAAAACCCCATAAATCTACTTTCTGTTCAATAAACAGCTTCTATTTGAAGAAGTTTTCTACTGTATGCATGATTGAGCGATGGACAACTGGTTCTGCCAGACACACCTAAATCAAGCACGTAGCCCAGCGGTCAGCAACATGCGGCTCTTTTCCTGTCCTGTTGTGGCTCCACAGCTGAATCAGATTAGTAGGTAAAAATAAAATAATCCTCCTTTACAGTAAAATAAAGCTCTGCTGATCGTTCAACACAGTTTAACAATAAATGGTCTTAAACTCTGGAGTTAATGTAGAACTGCTAATTCACCCTTTAACCCTGAAGATCAGCGCAGACTGCTGGTCACCATAGCAACACAGACAACAGTCTCACCTAGCCAGTAGCTAACGAAACGGCAAAGAGAGAGATTTAAGACGAACATTGATAATTTAGAGACGAATGGACTTATTAGTGTTTATAATCCCTCCAGCTGGTTTCCTGATACGTTTAATCTGCAGTGAGAAACTGACAAACACTAAAAAGTCACGAAGCTGAAGTCAGTTTCTCATTCGCCAGCTTCTTGTTCGAAATTTCCCGTTCCACCTTAAATGGTGCAGCAGTTACATTCTGGCACCTCAGGCGCCATTTAAGGTGGAATGAGAAAATTGAACAAGAAGCTGGCGAATGAGAAGCGACTTCAGCCTCGTAAAAAGTCGAACATTGAGACACATTTTACAAGAAACTGTTCAACTTCTGTGGAAGAGTTTCCTGCCGGAGATGCGAGAAAAGCTGCTATAGCTGAGCTAAAGCTGAAAGCGGAGCAGTAAGTCTGTGTTTTTGTTTATATTTTTTATCCTATACTAGCACATCAGCACATACTGAGACATATTTACAGCCAAGATGGTAAAATGTACATAAAATGTTGTGGCTCCCAAGGTGGTTTTGTTAAAACGACAAAATGGCTCTTCTCAACATTGGGG